GTAGTTAGCGCTAACTGCAGTTAAAAAGTAGTTAAAAAGTGGTTAACTTTAATCACGTAGTTAAGCCGGTTGTATAAAAGTGTAGTTAGCCTTAACTGCAGTTAAAAAGTAGTTAAAGTTAACTATGCTCTAGGGTATAGTTAACTGTCCAAAACGTAGTTAAAAATGGCGTTTGTATAGGAGTGAACAACATTTTTCAGTAAAACAACAATGAAAAGCAACGGTTACCTGAGATTTTCAATCGCTATCTTCCCTGTGAATGTTTCCTGACAATATAAACTCTTCAAACGCTAGCGCTTCGGTGTTTTTACGAAAACAGAACATATTTTTGCACAGGACGATTTCTCGAAGACGAAGTATGGTCCATTACACCAAGAAACACTGATATATAATTGCCAAACAGCATTACCTTGGTTTAACGTAGGCATTTCAAGGAAAACTGCATTCTTTTATAGTTTTTGTGGCGGTTTTTCCTTGTTTTCTTGTATATTTTTCATTGTTTTTCTAGTGTTTTGAATAAAATTCCCGCCTATTTGCAAAATACGAGTCCACAATCATGTTGAAAATGTGTGTCAGCGGTCGTTATTCGCTGCTTACTTTATGTAATTTTGTGTTTAAATGCCCCACGGAAGCCCCACGCACAGTTAACTACGTGATTAGTTAACTATCCGACTAACTATGTTTTGTGCAACGCAGTTAAGTCATGTAGTTAACTAATTACAGTTAAGGATTTAACTACAGTGATTAACGCTAACTACAGTTAGCGCTAATTACGTTTTTATACAACCGGCCCCAGGCGATTTTGTTCACGATTTTGTTACTGATTACGTGATTGCATCATCATCAACCGTTGATGTAACAAAAATAGTAACAAAATCGTGAACAAAATCGCCTGATGATCGTCTAGAAAGGACGTGAAACTCAGAGTAGCGATATCTAATTTTAAGAAACAGACAATCTATATATATATATATATATATATATATATATATATATATATATATATATATATATATATATATATATATATATATATATATATATATATATATATATATATATATATATATATATATATATATGTGGGTTGTGTAATTGTACACTCTGTAATATGTTAAGATGAAACTGTTCTAGATTGTGTATTATATAATTTCCATACCCAGCGCAAGCAGAAAGATGTTGTCTGCCGCGGCTGGGTCTTGAGTCTAAAGGCCCTGTCACATTATTGCGTATGAGAGAAACGTATGAGAAGCGTATGAAAATTAATGAAATAATTTTCATACGTACAAAAATCCTTTGAAATGCCAGCGTATGAGTACCTAACCGTACATCTGGCGTCCCTCTAGCGTATTCAGCGTGTGCCTAGAGAAAATGCTTATCGTATAAAGCATACGTTCGATCCGCACAAAATTTTTGAACATGCTTAAAAAAAATTATCTGCCTCGCCGTATGCCTGCGTATGCCACCGTGCTCGAAACGTATATACAACCTATGCCTAACGTAGCCCTAGCGTATGTCAGCGTATACCGGTAAATAAGTGATATTTTTCATACGCTGGCATACGCTAGTACGATACGCAATAGTGTGACAGGGCCTTTAGGTCGCGGGTTCAAGGTTTATATATATATATATATATATATATATATATATATATATATATATATATATATATATATATATATATATATAAATTATTATTAATTTACCTGTTGAAGAACATTCCACCCCAGCATCTTCACCGTGCCCACAATTATGGCTTCCCCACTCGTTGTGTGCACATTTGGTCAAGTTTAGTTCGCTCCCATTACATTTAACCTCATCTAACCAAATCTTGCCAGAACCATCGGGAACAGAGTTCCCTCCAAGAGCTGCATAAGCATTTAGATAACCAAGCTGACGACATACAACTGCAGCATCGTTTATATCCCAACTATCATCACATATTGTTCCCCATTGTCCTCTGTAGAATACTTCCACACGGCCTTTACCACGTTGACTTGATGGGCCTTGTAACCTGAGAGATATCGCTGCAAAACGAATTAAATCCAGTTACCGCATTTAATCATAATTGCAAGTATAAATTTAAAAATTGGGGAAAATGTACAATGATGTCTCACAATTCTAAAATATGTCAAAATAATTTTGTAGACGGTTAGTTTCTTAATTACAATAATGGAAATTTATCTTTTAGACGTAATATTGCAAATGTTTTATACCTTCGCAAATTGTCCGATTCCAAGAATATCCACTATCACAACTGCAGGAAAAAGATCCATAAGTGTTGATGCAGCTTGAGTTTTGGCGACAGTTGTCAATAGATAGGGAACATTCATCGATGTCTATATACAAATATAAGAAATGAAGAAAAAAGCACATTGCAGTATTGACTTGCCAGATTGCATCACCTACCAGTGCAAGTCACGCCATTTCCGGTATAACCATGGTTACATCTGCATGAAAAACTCCCAATGGTGTTGATACATTGAGATTTACTGCCACAATTGTCCAATCCGCTGGAACATTCATCCACATCTATAACAATTAATTAAACGGTTATATTTGTACATAAATACTGTACGTTTTTTGTTGTAGTCACATGGTTAATTTATCTGATGAGTGTCACATCTTGCGGTACGAAATTAATTGTAATAAAGATGCCTAGTGGAATTTGTTGAGTGGTTTCACTAATTTTATATATTGCAGACATGTTTATAGGTTTTGGCCTTATTTTGTAAGAGTAAAATATAACTTTATTTGCGTGTGAAATCATTTCCCACAAGAAAGGTGGTGGCCACGGCAAGGATTATACAGTGAAAAGTGGTTGTAGTTACGGAAATATGCCTATTACGAGGGGACAAAGCGAGTCAAATGCATATGCGGAGGAATGATAAGCTATTGGAAGCCAAAATCAAAGTGAAACACCCGGCATAGACCGTATCACATTTGTGCAAAAACAGTTGGAAACCAGTTTTAAATTAATTCAGCATCGAACAATACTAGTTCTTCAAGTGTTATGTTATGTTGTGTTATTGTTCACTCCGTAATATGATAAGTTGAAAATGTTCTCTAGTGTGTATTTCATAATTTCCAGACGGCGCGCCCAAACAGAAAGATATTGCCTTCGGCGGCTGGGTGATGAAAACCGCGACCTTCAAAGTTCGAAATACTAGATCGAGTAGAGCGGCTCTACCAACTGCGCTCCACAGTCAGACGGATTTTAAGACTGCCAATTATGAACTATATACTGAATGTCATAAACATACTCGTTTAATGAGGTTATATAGTAACCAAGGTTAACATCATAGGAATCGCGCGCAGTCTGGGTACGACAAGTGCCCTCAGGATATCGGATATAGAGAGTGCCAAGCAGACTCTCAGCTCATTAGCTAATTCGTAGCCAACTGCAATAGGAATCTGCTCAGAGAAGAACCATTTTTTTTTTCGTCTTTGTTCTTGTTGTGTGCGTGCTTGTTGAATAACATGGACTCGGCGGGAGAAACTTCAAGTCACCAGGAAACCGGTTCATCCTCTACGTCGGTGGATTGGGCAGCAGCTTTCAAGTTGCCCGAGTTTCTTCTGCCTCCGGTTTTCAAACTGCCGTGGCCGATGCCACAGCGATGGTAAGCGCGCCAGGTGCGCAAACACCAGGCGAAGGTAATACCATGTCAACTGCTCCTTCTTTTGTTAAGAGTGCTGGGTCGACGTCGTTGACACAATCGAGTACAGTTGCACAATTTAATAAGTCAACCATCCTCGTTCCCAGGGCTTCTCGGCTGCCTGCGTTGCCGTAAGCCCTGGGACAAGCCGAGGCAGAAGTGATTTGATTGGTCATTAGAAATAAAGTGAAGTATGAAAAGTTTATTCATCAAGTGGATGTTTATATTCGGCAATATGGCTGCCTTCAAAGAGTGCGCGTTCGAACTACGAAGAAAAACAAACGTATAATGCTTGTTTTCTATGGATTACTAGAAAAAATTTGCAAACAGAAAGAAAGAAAATAACAAAATGGACAATTATAAAGCAGAACTAAGCAACAATATCGAAGAAACGTCAGCTATGAAGCCATAAAATAGTTTTTCAATTTAATATTTTCTTGTTAAAGTTGTCTATTATTAAAACATTGTGCTCAAGTGTAATTGTAAAATTTAAAGCACACTGTAAATATGAAATATTTAATAATATATTTTTACGATAGTAAAGTTTTAATGGTGTAATATATTGTGTTTTATTATGCTTTTGGTCACTTGGCCTATAAATGGCCCTATATTAAAATAGCAATTGGAATTTATAAATATAGCATATAGTATGTTATAGAGGTGTAATGTACTATAAACCTATATACTATATGTACAAGCTGTATTTTACTATTTCTGAATTTTCTCAGTTGCATTATTAGTGAGTAATTTTAATAGCTTTTAATTAAATTCAGTGAATTAATAAGCTTATAAGCATATTCAATTGTACCAGTCATTTGAATCCCTGCACCTTTGGCATACCAGAGGGGGATGCAAGGACAGAATCCAACAAAACCTATTCACTGGTTTATCATTTCTTGGCAAACAGGGAAGACACTTACTTTCAGTGTCCAAGTCGTGGAATTTGTGAGGTCATGGTGGGGGGCTCACTTTGTCTTTTATCTGCTGTACATATAAATGCTGAATAAAGCAGTCGGCTAGGAAAGGCTTTTACAGAACAGTAAAGGAATGGTTTGGGAAATTTCAAGTAAAAATTAGGACCGGAGAAATTTACCTTGCCATTTTGTCCTAGCTGTAGGGGACTTCACTGAATTTCACACACCAAATTAAGTGATTGCCCCTGGTATGCCAGAGGTGGGGGTCTCAAATTTTTTTATCACATTGGATGAGATCATGAATATACACTGTTTCCTATCAACAGTTGGAATACAATACTTATTCTGTTGACTTATTGCAACTCTTGTAAGAATTGAAATTATAAATAAACTATTATTCTTGACAAAACTGAAAATGTGTATATGTATATGCAGGCTTCTAGCCAGGAGACGCCCTACCATGTCTGTATAAAAATGGATTTTAAATAAATCATTACAAAAATGGCATAAAAGTTGCTTTGTATTCTGAAATAACATTTTAAACATACTGTATTAAACGGTGTTCAATATTCATACTACATGATAGGCATATGACCAAACAAACACCTTGTGCTTTTTTGTTCAAATTTACACGCGCATGATTTTGTATACATAATATATATTTAAATCTAGCAATTCAAATCCAAAACTCATGGAGTCATGCATGACAGCTATCTATGATTTATATTTTCTTGAAATGTTACAGTAGGTGATTCATTGTTATTGCCGTTGTTGTAACCCAGTAAACAGACACACACCGCCGTTTAGACATGTCACATGTCGTTTCTTCAATCGAGACGAAGAGCCGTTTCATAATAAGAAAAGAGATAAGCTGTTTCATGTCTCTCGTCAAAGATTAAACACACGTGGTTGCGTTTATTGCGATGACAGCGCACATAGAACTAATGATTGCTCAAAAGTGGTTATGACGTCAGCTCGTAAACAAATATTAGCCAGAAAAAGATTATGTTTCAACTGCGCCGCAGGGAACCTGAAGTCATTCCACCACCCGCCGCGACCGGAATTTACGTAGCTGAACCACCCACCGAGACCAGAAGTGACGTAGTTGGACCTCCCACAGAGGCCAGAAGTGACGTAGCTGAACCTCCCACCGAGACCGGAAGTGACGTAGCTCAACCTCTCACAGAGACCGGAAGTGACGTACCTCAACCTCCCACAGAGACCGGAAGTGACGTAGCACAACCTCCCATAGAGACCGGAAGTCAAGTCAATCCACTTCCAACACCGATCGGAAGTAAGGTTGTTACATCACCCACAATACACACAAGCGGAAAAGATCGAACAGTAACAATATCTAAGGAGTTTTTCATCCCACACAAATACGTCATTCGAGAGTCAGCCCAAACTACCAAAATGAGAATTGTCTACGACGCCTCCGCGCGAGCAACTCCCGAGGCACCGTCTTTGAACGAATGTTCATACACCGGACCAGCACTGCAAAACAAATTATGGGACATTCATGTTCAACAACGTACCTACTCAGTTGGTGTGTCTGCTGACATCAAGCAAGCATTTCTGCAAATCAGAGTTAAAGAAAACGAGAGGGATATTTTTAAATTTCATTGGCAACCAAAGGCTGACGCAGAAATCGAAACATACCGATTCACGAGAGTTCTGTTCGGCCTCGCACCTTTCCCATTTCTGCTGGGGGGAGTGATTGAGAACCATCTGGACACCTGGTGAACGAAGTATCCCGAAGAAGTCGAAAGGCTCCGCCACTCCTTTTACGTAGATGATCTTCTGACCGGTGGCGAAAACGTAACACAAGCCCAAGAACGCAAAGAACGAGCGATCGAGATAATGAACGATGCAAAATTTAAACTGCACAAGTGGAACTCGAACTGTCCTGAAATAGAAGAGACTCAAGACACTCCAAAGAACGAAGAGCAATCGTACGCCAAGCAACAGCTACAATTCTCACCAAACGAATCCATGCTTTGGGGGCTCAAATGGGACAAAGCAACAGATACATTGTCGGTCGAGTTCCCGAAAACCGATTGTGCGAAGATCAAACGTCAGTTACTCGGGCAGTTAGCGAAGGTCTACGATCCCCTGGGTTTAGCCTCACCGACAACGCTCTTGGGAAAGCTTATTTATCGTGACGTATGCGACTCGAAACTTGCTTGGGATGCCCCCTTTGCTTGGGATGCCCCCGTACCTATCACGAAGCCACCACCAGGAAATCTACCGAAAGACCGCATGGAAGGAGCAGCGTTCGAAATCATAGGAACCGACTTTGCCGGCCCGATTCGCTACAGAATGACCAACAAACGAGAAGGAAAGAGCTACCTGTTGATCTTTTCATGCAGTTTGTCACGAGCGGTCCATCTAGAGTTAGTCCGAAACCTGGAGACCGAAACCTTCATCCAGAGTCTAAAGAGATTCATCGCGAGGCGAGGACGGCCAGCTGTGATCTACTCAGATAACGGCTCAACATTCGTTAAGGCAGTCAAATGGTTGAAGCAGGTGCGGAAAGACGCGGCCTGAAACAGCGCGGGATTTACTTGCGTGTATGGCCTTAATAATACGAATCGCGAAGCAATTCCCCTGCCGGTGTTGGTTTAATTATGATCGCGCCTATCGTCTCGAAACTGCCGCATCCAATTCAAAGAATTGGAGCCAAATTCATGCAGATTTGTACCATTACCATACATCCGTAGCGGTCAAAGCCACACTACCACAAGCTTCACGAAATCGCAAACCTCGTGGTAATCAAAACTCGACGATTGCCTGCAAATCGTGGAATTCAGGCGTATGTAGCAGTCCACGCGATTTTTGTAGATTTCGCCATAGATGCGAATCGATGAATAGAATCCATTGCTCAGAATTCGCGCTGAAACGAGGCCGTAGTCTTGGAGATGAGTCAAGCCGTAGGCGACAGGCGAAGCGCGATTAGAAGAGACCGTGTAGTTGATCACAATATTTTTTCCTGTTTAGTTGTTCGAAACAATTTTAATCGTTTTGACGTGTCTTTAGTTACCCCATTAATGTAGACAATTTGACATTACAATTATGCAGTCATCCGGAGCGACAAAAAGTTTACTATGTTTCACCAAATCACGCCCCTCATGGAAATCAGCTCCGATTTGTTGAGGCCAGCGTGCTTAAATAATTTTTTGTATGTATGTATGTATGTTCTAAGTGGTTTACGTCAGAGGTTTCGGCCTGGGTTGCGCCGAAGGCAAATTGTCCCTCTGCGCTCAAACAGCCCTCCATAATTGACGTATATTTCGCAATAGAGGTATCAATTAGGCCGGGTTTTTGGGCCTACTGCAATACCACCATTAGATAGTTTACAGGTCAGCCGTTGTGGCGTGATTCCTAACAAAGACGGTGGGTGGCGTTTAATTCTTAATTTATACTTTCCCTCTGGGCACAGCGTAAATGACGGTATTAATAAAGAGGAAGTTACATTTATCCGAGGCTATTTCACTAGTTATTAAAGCCGGACATGCTGCGTTAATGGTGAAGTGGATATTAAAAGTGCTTTTCGCATAATTCCAGTGCTTCCGTCAGACCGTCATTTATTAGGACTGTTTTGACATAGTGGTTTTTATGTTGATCTAGCATTACCGTTTGGCTGGCGCTTAGCACCAGGATTTTCAATAGTCTAGCAGTCTTATTTCACTGGTGCTTTGTGAATAATTAGCACGTTCGATTCTCGAGTTACTACATTACCTAGACCGTTAGACTACTATTTCACCTTAGAACCACCTAACTCGGACCTATGTGCTCCGCATGCATCTCAAAGCGATTGACCAGGCAGCGACCGAAATTGGCATACACTTATCGCTTGACAAATGCGTGGGCCCACAACATGTTTGATTTTCCTTGGCATTGAGTTAGGCAGTGCGCATGACTGCTCGATCATCCGCTGACAAACACACGGAGCTCATCTATTTGTAGTAGAAGTTGGCCGTTTAAGCGCTCTTGCAGACTAGAGGATTTCCAGTCACTAGTGGGAAAATTAAGCCACCCATGTGCAGTCGTCCCCCAGCGACGCACATTTTGCGTCGTTTTGCTCGACTTGTTAAAGGGCAATTCCAGCAAGCAATCCCGGTTTATGTCTCAACAAAGAGTGTAAACTGGATGTTGACTGGTGGAGAACCTTTAAGCCTACACGGGACGGTGTGTGCCTCTTTGATCTGCCGGAGTGGGCCCCAGTCCTTGACCTTGTGATCTCTACATTCTGTTCGGTCAAGTGGTTTAATGGCAAGTTCCTCGTATTTTGGCGTGGGAGCCAGCGCGTAACGCGAATGGTTCCATTCTGCCTACGTCCGAGTGGACACTGATGCTATTCGCTACGCACCATTCCAGAACCATTAAGGCATAATCAATTAAAGTTTATTTAGCGGGAATACGATCATTGCACGTCAAAGGCTAGAACGAGTTCTTCGGGACCATTAAACGGTTCCAAGGCGGTTCCAAACGTGATCGGCTCCCGGTAACCTTAACAGTGTTATCTGTTAATTTCTTCAATGGCGGCATGGCTGGGCAACTGGGGTTTGTCCCTTTGGTAATTTCTAAATTGCGACATGGCTTAGCAGCAGGGTTAGTCCCTTTGCTAATTTCTAAATTACGACATAACTTAGCAACTGGGTTTATTCACTTTGCTAATTTCTAAATGGCGAGATAGCTTAGCAACTGGGTTTGGTCCCTTTGCTAATTTCTAAATGGCGACATAGCTTAGCAACTGGATCTGGTCCCTTTGCTAATTTCTAAATGGCGAGATAGCTTAGCAACTGGGTTTGGTCCCTTTGCTAATTTCTAAATGGCGACACTGCTTAGCAACTCGGTTTAGTCACTTTGCTAATTTCTAAAGGCGACATTGCTTAGTAACTGGGTCTGGTCCCTTTGCTAATTTCTAAAGGGCGACATAGCTTAGCAACTGGGTGTGGTCTCTTTGCTAATTTCTGAATGGCGACATTGCTTAGCAACTGGGTGTGGTCCTTTTGCTAACTTTAAAATGGCGACAAAGCTTAGCACTTTTTTTTACTTGTTTTTCCCACTGGGGTGGTCTCTTTGCTAATTCTAAAAAGGCGATAGTTTAGCAATTAGGTTTGGTCTCTTTATTACTTACTAGAATTAAATTTAATCTTAATATGGCGACATAGCTTAGCAACTGGGATGAGTCCCTGGGCTAATTTCTTAATGGCGACATAGTTTAGCAACTGGGTCTGGTCCATGTCTGCTAATCTCAAAGTGGCAGCATAGCTTCGCAAATGGGTTTGGTCCCTATGCTAATTTCTAAATTTGCTAATTTCTAAATGGCGACATAGCTTAGCAACTGGGTTTGGCCTCTTTGCTATTTCTAAACGGCGACATAGCGTAGCAAATGGGTGTGGTCCCTTTGCTAACTTTAAAATGGCAACATAGCGTAGCAACCGGGTGTGGTCCTTTGCTAATTTTAAAAAGGCGATATAGCTTAGCAATTGGGTCTGGTCCCTTTGCTAATTTCTAAATGGCCACATAGCTTAGCAACTGGGCGTGGTACCTTGGCTAATTTCTAAATAGCGACATAGCTTAGCAACTGGGTCTGGTCCCTTTGCTAATTTCTCAATGGCGACATAGCTTAGCAATTGCATTTGGTCCTTTTGGGCGAATTTTAAACGCATTTGGTCCTTTTGGGCGACATAGCGTAGCAACTGGGTATGGTCCCTTTGCTAACTTTAAAATGGCGACATAGCGTAGCAACTGCGTGTGGTCCTTTGCTAATTTTAAAAAGGCGATATAGCTTAGCAAGTCGGTCTGGTCCTTTTTCTAATTTCTAAATGGCGACATAGCTTAGCAACTGGGCGTGGTATTTGGGTAATTTCTAAATGGCGACATAGCTTAGCAACTGGGTTTGGTCCCTTTGCTAATTTCCAAAGGACGACATAGCTTAGCAACTGGATTTCATCCCTTTGCTAATTTCTAAATGGCGACACTGCTTAGCAACTCGTCTTAGTCACTTTGCTAATTTCTAAATGGCGAGATAGCTTAGCAACTGGGTTTAGACACTTTGCTAATTTACAAATGGCGGCATCACTTAGCAACCGCGTTTGCTCTCTTTGCTAATTTCTGAATGGTGGCATAGCTTAGCAACTGGGT